CTTTATATTTAGCATAGCTATGACTGGTATTGGTCTTTCCCTCTAAGACTGGATTCTATTATTTAAAATATAAAGTTTTATTGGCAAGATTTTTTTTTACGTTTTCTATTGTTGTGATAAATGACTCCCTCTTTTGAGATTGTCTTGATATTGATCAAGTAAAGCAAAATAACAATCAACCACATCAAATTTGAGAGAGCAATGTCAAGCTGAGGAGGATAAGCTGCTGATTTTTAGGTGGAAGGTTGAACATTGGGGAGTCCAGTAAGTTTCGTACGTCATGGCAAATGACTGTAAAAAAAAACTGTTAAAAAAACACAACAGAGCAGCAAAAGCTTCCTGAAAAATACTATTTATTTATTGACTTATTTATTTTCATTTGTAACTATGAAACCATCAGGTGTTTGGTAATTAAAAACTGCATTTATAAGTATTTGTGCAAATTTAAGCCTATTTGAATACACTGCACACCTTACTCTAATGATACTACCCTGTTAATATCCCTTTGCTACTGTCATGTCATCGGGCAAAAAAAAAACCTTTAACCTTTCCAAACACAAGTTTCTAATTTCTACATAATCCTCGTCTAATTTTCAATAACTATGTGATGTTCAAAATAACAAGCAGTCTTGTTGTTTTGGAAATCGGCATGTTCTGTATTGTTTGTCGTAATTTTTACGTAGGATGTGTTGATTCTGTTTCAACATGCAGTAACGCAGTCGGAGCCTTCAGAGAGGCGTCGTTGGGTCTCCTATGCATCTATGATTTCTTGCCATGAGTGTGACTTAACATCATAGTAACACACTGTATCAGTTTGGTTCCTTTACTGTGAGAGAAGCAAGTTCGATTGACTTCGCAAGCACTTTTATTTTTGTCAAATCACTGTGACACTGTCTTTTGTCATTAAGATAAAGTTTGAATAAAACTTACTACTGTATTCACAGACCATTGTGGAAATGTGTTTATTTTTTCGATTATATAGGGCAAAGACTGTTCTCATTTTCCCTCTGTCTGTCTACTCTTCACTGGTGCCTGTACAAAGTGGAAAAACTAGGGCGGTTATTTTGAGAGCCCTCTTTCACAAAGTTTTCGCTTTGCCTCAGTGTCTCAGACAGCTGTTTGGGATCTTACAAAATGTTTGTTTTGGTTTCTTCTGGCACAGACTGTGTTGTGTCCATGTCTGCTTTAGAGTCCATTAGAGGACACCCCGCAAAAAAAACTGCTAGTTCATTACATAACTGTCCACAGTGTGCTTAAAACACACGGATCAATAAAAAAAATCATTTATTTACATTTACTTCTGTAGCTGTAAGCAGGTTTAAAAAGATTTTATAAAAGCTATTTAGATTGCTGGCAAAATTGTGTGCAACAAAAAGTAAAGTAAGCACATGCAAAGAGGCAAAATGGACTAAAAAGGTAAATTAGACTGACTTGAAAAGAAACAGGCTGCCATAGACCTGACCTGGCAACCCACACAGCAGACTGGATTTCTTCTTATAGCGATGAAGGAAGTATTCCGATCATTTACTGAAGTAAAGCAATAACACGCTGTAAAAAATACTCCACTGCTCCGTTGTATTGTATTGGGTGTTTTACTATTGCTACTATAATATATAGGCCTACTATATTATTAGATCATTATTACTGAATTCACTGAGTTGATGTAAAAGTAGCATTGTACTGTTGTATCTGTTTAAAGTTAAAGTTGTTTATGTAAAATCTTAATTGGTAAATTAAATATAGCTGTAGTGAAGAAGTATAAAGGAGCATAAAAGGGAATTAGTCAAGTAAAAGTACCTCAGACTTGTACTTACAATTAGAGACTATAGAAATTATCCTGTTCAGATGATCTTCTTCAACATGTTAATGGAAATCAACTGACACCTGATATCTTAATATTGAGTAATGAGATGAATGATTAAAAGTATGCCTGGAGTTATATAAGAACCCTCTCTCTTGTGCTTCTTGTCAAATTACATCCACACCAAAATAAAGAGAGTAATATTGTTTGCATGTTGCTTTTTTACTAAGCACGTCAGTCTGACCACAAGATGTCAGTAATGTTTGAAGTTCAGCGTCCTAACTGAATCTCTGCTGCAAAGAGATCTTTTCGACAGGAAACAGATGGAGTGGATGTAGAGTACTTCACTTGTCTTTTGTGGATATCATTTTTTAACAAAGCCTTGTAGATTTTATTTTTTGTAATTGAGAGACAATAAATGTTTTGTTGTATAAATGCAATTTATGTCCCCTTTTAGAGAACTTGTAAGTATTTTTGAAAAGTTTAAATAAAGTTTTGGGAAAAAAACACAAAAAACAAACAAACAAAAAACACTTGTCTTTTGTGGAGAACAACAAATGCTTCTGCCCTCAGCATTTATTATTAAATGCAACACAATAAATTATATCTCCTCTCAGGTATGTTTCCATTGGCTGCTATATAGTTCTACTGGAAACATCGCCAGTTAGAATAGAGCTTAAAAAATCAGTCTGAATGGAAATATGAGAAAGAAAGTGCTCATCTTTAAACAACAGTGGGTCTAAAGTGCTTCGTTATAACATTTTAATTTTGAAAAGCCACCTGAGGAACAGGTCTGAGATTACAATGCTTTGATAGGCACATGTTCTCAAGTCAGTGTCAGTCAGTTCTTCTCACGCTTTATCATTACAACACTGTGGGTTGAAAACGTATTGCAGTATGATTTTAATGCTTTGTTTGTATTTTGTTCAAGCTCAGAAACAGGCATGCTGACAGAGAGTGGACACACACACATAGAAGCTTAAAACAATGAACAATTAAATATCTTATTAAATATACTAGAAAAAAAGAATAAATTGAATAAACTTGAAGACTTTACAAGGAAACAAATGAATTATGACAAACTAAAGCCGAACATGTTTCAGGTGTAAAGGGAAATCAATACAATAGACAATGATAATAAAAAATGAAGAAAGCAAACACAAGGATAACCATGACGAGGCGGAAAAGACAGGACTTTGGTCAGATTCATACGGATTGTGTGTATATGTGTGTAATAAAAATAAACAGGGACAAAAAGGGAAAGGTCTCCACTGGATGATAATTAACAAGATACGTATGTTATCAATTATAATCAGGAGTTAGGGGTGAGTGGCAGCAGTTGGAAACTTGTAATTTGTAATTTAATATATGACGTCCCATATGTCACACCATATCAGTGCAACCACAGAACAAGCTGAGTCAGAATCAGGCTCAGTTAGTGGATGAGACATTTAGATCAGAAATATAAAGACGTAAATGAAAAACAATTTGTTGTTTCTCTACCAGCTCCAGTTCTGCTCATTTGTAAAAATGTTTTTTTATTTTTTATGTATTTTAGAACAAAACCACAATCCCTATTTAAACCTTTACACCACCTTTACACACCACTGGATGAAAATACAAATAAAACGTATAAAAGAAAATTAATGTTTGTTGATGAAGCATGTTTTTATTGTTTTCTTTTTCCTATTTGAAATCAATTACAATGCAGACATATTTAATATGAAGCAACAAAAAAAAACACACACAAACACATAGAGAAGATGAGTTGAGATTGTTTCAAGTAATGAGCTGATAATGAATTCCTGTCATAAATTCTGTGTGTGTGTGTGTGTGTCAGTGGGTGACCAGATTTCCCAGGCCTCCACTCCATGATGTTACTCATTTATCAATCTCATTGAGGGAACCAAAGCTAACCAGCAAATAACATTTATAGTGTGTGTGTGTGTGTGTGTGTGTGTGTCTTTATGTGGATGTAATGGGTCGAACACCAGAGTTAACTGACTGTGTTTAGCCTGATCATTTAGACATGTATTAAAGGTTGAGTGATATTAGTTATGAGGAATAATTACTTCGCTCAGTCTTCATCAGTGTCTGTAATAAAGGATGTGGATTACGTGCGTGGTACAGATAAATAGCACAAAGCCTGTGAGAGAAGTGTGTGTGCTTTTACAGCGCGTTATCTATGATAAGTTTTATGATCAGACCAACCTTTGCTCTTCTCCTTTCTCTCCTTGCCTTCCTTTTCCTGTGATGTCTTTCACAACTTTACAAGCTGTGTCTGTGTTTGCTGTCTACCTGTCTCTGACACATACAGTGAAAAAACCTGCACACTCATGTCGTCTCCCATTTGCAGGATGGCCTCAGATTCTCCAGTGCTTGTAATATACACAATGTTTTTTGTTGTTGTTGTTTTCTAAAGTTTCTTACAAGTTGTTTTTGTCTCTTAAAAAAGCAGTAGTATAGTCACTAATTTATCTTGATAAGATGTAATCAAACAGACCTTTCAAATGAAGATTAGCTATTGCAAGGTTTTACACTTTAGTGTTTGTACGGATTAAGTTAACTAAATATCGGAGATGCAAGGTGGATTCCATTACCACTGAGCAGAGCTATCCGTTTCTCATGTCTTTCAGTCTTTGTGCTAATAAGCTATCCATCGTGTTGAACTCTTTCTGTAAAATGCACTTCACTCAGAGTATTGCATCAACTTCTCTCTTGAAAATCAACTTAATAATTGAGGGATGGAATAACCTCAGTGATGTGTCTGTTGTGGGGCCTGATTAATGGGTGCATCTGCTAACCATCACCTTAGTGGCTGTACAGAACTAGTTCCAGATATGTTTCATGTGTGCAAGGCCTCACCATCTCCATGCTGTTGAAGGTCAGTGCAGCTTATTTTAGGCCTACATTACATCAAATATCCAGTTTTTCATTGATTAATTTAAGCATAGGATTATTATCGGTGGCATTCTCTTTAAAAATGCTCCTCTTTAGTCATTGTGAAATCTGTGTTTATTAGCAGCAAGCACACAACCATGCAGCTAAAATCTGTGCTCTGTGTTTGTGTGTTTGTGTGTTTCAGGCTGGTAATTCATGCAGACCTTGGCATAACCACAGTGGGAAGGTTATATGGCCCGCCTCTGTGTCTTTAAAGGTTGTATATTAACAGCTTGATGTGGAAAGGACAGGAGAGCAGACACTTAGAGGAACAGAGGGAGTGTGAATCTGAGAAGCGGACAACTCAGTGGAGAAAACAGACAAGGACGGGGGCTGGATATTGCTCCTGTGAAATGTTCTTTCAGTGAGGACGTGGTGGATTAGACAAACTTTCATTTCTGGAATTTGCAACAAAATTTAAGCGGAAGTTTTTGGAGAGTTTGGTGACTACAGACAAAACACTGAAAGCCTTTATCAGATCCCGGACTGCCTTTAACAGCTCAAAAATTTAACTTCAGAGTTGGAAATGGGAGCAGTGTGGTGGTGTCTTTGTTTTTGTGTCTTGGGGATTCTTGCTGTTCCATGTCGGGGCATCAAACCAGAAGAGGTTACAATTGATGTGATCCTGCTTGACGATGAAGCGTCTCCCTGGAGTCTGAAGTTTGTGAAAGGAGAAATAGAGAAGGCTATAGAGACTATTAAAACCATCAATACTTCAGGTAGGCCTAATAGAATAAGAACACAGAAGAAAATACACACAGAATAATTATTGACTCAAAATGATATTATTGCAGAATATATTAGGTGACTGCATTGTTTTATGATACGTCCTTTAGTGCAATAAAATTATCGATATATCTGTGTATATAATGAATGTGTGTATATAGCTTGTTGCATTTGAACATAACACCAAACCTGACACCCCCACCCCCACGGCGTTGTATAACAGTTTTAATTCCTTGCATTCCAGCTTCTCCACTGTTTTCACTGACAATCTAATTACACTAAATAAGTTATAACATCTCTTAGATTTCAGGGGACAGGTGAAGCAATGACTGATAACAGATATCTGTGTGTAATAAATTATAGGAAATGGGCCATAGGGATCATCCGTAATGCGTACTTAATGTTTTATACTAGCTTAGCTTGATCTTTAGTCTGCCAGACAATGATAACATTTTATTAAGTTTATTAAGACTCACATAGGCATGGTTGGATTAACCTGCTACGGGCCCCTGGCTAAAAATTTGTTGTGGGCCCTTATTATTTGTGATAATTTGATTAAACACAGATTTATTTGGCAACCCGTATCAATCCACATACCAAGTTAACCAAATGACTACAAACCTATTGAAAACGAAGCTTTTGTGGCTCCTGAACATCTGGGGTCGAGGGAGGCTTCACTGCTTTGCTTCCCCAGAGCTGCTAACATTTGCCTACACTATGATGAAGTAGCATTGAGGGTTGGTTTCCACACCGCGGGAAAATACTACACAGTATTCTTCTTCTTCTTCTTCTTCTTCTTACATGGTTTTGGATAAGATAAAAAAAGTAAACCACCATAAATCTCTTTATACAGATTACTGCATTTATTACAGCCCCATGCCCACAAATTGACACCCATTACAAAACAAAAATATCATAAATCATGTTTTTTCTCTTTCTTTCTTTCTTTCCACAATAAAAGTTGGGCCGTTAAATTTTACGCCTAACTTTGAAGGGTTCAACACAAACTTTTATCGAAACAGAGGTTGTCGGAGTAGCGCATGTGAGGGAGTGGACAAGATACAAATCCTGTTGGTAAGTAGCTACAGTTTTATATCCACTCATGATACACTTATCGACTTGCCTGCATGCTTTGTGTGTACCTTGAGGAAATATTGCCCCCCACTTGGCATCTAATTGCATCTTGTGGACACAGAGTTCATTTGTGAATACATATGTACAAACAAGGCTTGCTCTTGCAGGATTCACATAAACTGGGATGTTCTGTGCTTGGACCCACTTGCACCTATGCTACTTTCCATATAGTTGAGTAAGTGCCAGTTTTTCCATGGTCACACATATATCCCAACAGGGTTTGACATGTATAAATGTTACAGTAACTTATTCCTAAACAAGCTTCCCAACATTTGGCGGTCTTTCTGTTTTTCTCTCTCCATCAGTGTGGAACAAGGTCTGAAGCACAGTACACCCATCCTCTCAGCGGGAAGCTTTGGCCTCTCTTGCGACAACACAGTCAACCTGCAGCGCCTCCTGCCACCGGCTCGCAAGATCTC